ACAAGTATCATTCTATCTTTGTTATTCACCGAATGTTAAACAAGGATAAATTGATATTTGGAGATATATTGTGTGTATTCTCGAATGCGACCCCAATGTATCCATCGAGAGTGTGTAATGAACGCGATTTTATATGAAAGTAATCGAAGTTACATAAAGTAACAAAATTTTTTAATGCAGTTAATACATATTCATAAAACTTCATTCGGGTGCACCCGAGCGAAGTATTTGAACTTGGGTTTGAAAATATTTTCTTTAGTAGTTTTAAATAAGATATATACTATATAATCTTTTTTCACATGTTAAAATATAGAATCGAAAAATATAGTAGACATATTTTTCGGTCCTAGAGAAACTACCACGAATTTAAATATATTATCGGATGCACCCATTATTTTCATTCCCGCAAATCCCATCACAATATCAAATGTTATCATCAAATTTACGATTATTAATTTTAAAGGCTTGTGCCACACACCGACGAGATACTATTTAAAGATGGACAGTTCTTATTATGGAAGTTCGAATGATTGTTAAAATTTAAACGATTAGGAATAAAAAATCGATAATAAGATACCAATTTCATGATTTATTTCGTACATATGAAAAAAATATGTTTAAAATTTAATAATACTCTTTTTATTAAAAACTGATTTTAATGTCATTGTTTGAGTTTGATTATCAATATAATTGCAGAGAAAAAATTGAAATTTTTTAATATATTAATAAGATTATAACATTGAAAATATTACTTATAATAATCACAAATTTTTATTAATTGTCGATAATGTCATCATTCTTCATTTTGTAAGGGACCTCCTATTACCGACTCTCGTTCGTTCTAGTTCTATCAAGGCCTCATCGAAGCGTTGTTATGATGCGTCGCTTAAAAGTCACTCGTCGCTCACGCCACGCAGTGTGATTGGTCGAGATAGCCACGCGAGGCTATTATTTGTTGGCAACCCTGCCTGGAGAACTGTAGCCCAGTCTAGCCATTTTGAGCAATTTTACCAACTTCAATTCGCCTAATCTTTTATCCTTCATTTTCCTTTTCTCGTGTGACTGTTCTACTTGAATCGGTGAGATGTCACGTTTCTTTATCCATTGTTTCCTTTTGGCATCGTAATGTACATTAAGTGTTTCTAAACATACTAGATTCTTTTGAACTATTCTCTACACAATGATTTATGTATTTATAATGTTTTTTATGCAGATTTAATTTAATTGACAGGTTAAAATGGGTCGTCGACCAGCAAGGTGGTACGTAATGATATTTCTAATTAGTTGGATATATCAATTTTAAATATATATTTTATTAATAAACTTTGTAACATTTTTTTCGACATTATATGGCATTTCAATAAAAAGAATATTCATGAATGTTATATTCTATATATATATCATATATTTTTAAATATTTATCCATATTTTCCATATTTTAAATAAAAATTAGCAATTGTGTTACATGATGACAATAAAAATGCATTGTAATTCTAATTTAATATTGCAATTTTAATACAGATTCTCAGTATTAAAATTTAATATTAAAGAATATTAAAATGCATGAATTGGTGAAGTTGGCCATTCTCTCAGCTAATTTGTACAATTAAGATTATTAATTTTCTTAAAACTAATCAAATTTGACTTTTTATTACTTTCTATATATATATTGAGCTAAATGATTTCAACTAACAACTTGTAAATGCAAAAAATTATAGTTACCTATTGATTTAAGACTGAAGTGTTGATTTAAAATTTCTTAATACTATTATAGAATCAATATAATAATGTTTATTACATTTGACAATATTTTTTTTAGTTATCGATACTGTAAAAATAAGCCGTATCCGAAATCCAGATTCTGTCGTGGTGTACCGGATCCAAAGATCCGTATCTTTGATCTTGGAAAGAAGAAGGCATCTGTCGAGGACTTTCCATTATGTGTGCACCTGGTGTCAGATGAATATGAACAACTCAGTTCTGAGGCTTTAGAAGCCGGTCGTATTTGTGCTAACAAATATATGGTAAAGAATGCTGGAAAAGATCAATTTCATATTCGTATGAGACTCCATCCGTTCCATGTCATTCGTATTAATAAAATGTTATCGTGTGCTGGAGCTGATAGGTATGTAACTCCATGATATAAGATAATAGAACTTTTATTCTTAGAAAGATATATGTACATTTCTTGAAACAAGAGAGAAGGAGAGAGTGTGTATGTGTACAACTTTTTTCACGATTTATATTTGGAAATTATTTATTATTTCCATAATTTTTTATGTATTTTTTTCATAGAAACTGAAAATTATAATAATTATACATTTAAGAAGAAATTGATACATTAAAATAATGTTAATGGTATCCTTAGTTATATTATGAAATTATTAATTTGTTTATTAAAAAAAAATTAGATCAGCACACTCTGAATTAGTTTTTAAATAATTAAAGCATATATATACATATATATATAAAATTCTTATGCATATCATCATAAAATCATACATATATATATATATATGTATATAATTTTATGATGATATGCATAAGAATTTTATTCTATATTTTTGCAACTATTTAAGGATTATTTTATTTCAACATTTTTATATTTTTTTTTTTCCAGGGAAACAGAATTAACATAATGTAATAAAATGTATTCATTTTTCCTTGAGTATAGCGTCATTATTATGTTAATTCTGTTTCCCTGAAAAAAAAAAACATTAAAATGTTGAAATAAAATAATCCCTGAATAGTTGCAAAAAACTCGAAGAGTTATATCCTATTATAATATAATTTTGATTTCTATCCTATGGTCTAACATGAAATTACTGTAATCCTAATTATTTTACAGGCTGCAAACTGGAATGAGAGGTGCCTTTGGTAAGCCTCAAGGTACTGTAGCCAGAGTACATATTGGTCAGCCCATTATGAGTGTGCGTTCTTCTGATCGTCACAAGGCAGCTGTCATTGAGGCTCTGCGACGTGCCAAGTTCAAGTTTCCTGGTCGCCAAAAGATTTATGTATCGAAGAAATGGGGTTTTACGAAATACGATCGTACTGAATACGAGGAATTGAAAGCGGCGGGCCGTCTTGCTCCAGATGGTTGCAATGTCAAATATCTTCCAGAACATGGACCACTCGAAGAATGGAAAAAATTCAGGAAAGTACTTGCTGCAGCTTGAAGAAACATGGAACATTTTGGATATTAAATTGAATAAAATATATAATCAGAAAAAATCGAGTATATATTTACTAAAGATCCTTGAATAATCGAAAATATAATATCCAGAATCATTACCTATTTCTATCTAAAAGTTTGAGCTAAGAGATGTTCTTATTACATTTTTAAAATCAATAAATTAACATTTATTAAAGAATATGATTTATATTAAAAAAAAAAAAAAAAAACGAATAGAAATTAGAAATACTCATTACAAGAGTAATTTTAAGTAATGGTAAATTTGAATGCATAACTTTAACAATTTTACATTCAGATTTACTATCCAACGTCAAATTTATAATCCAATTTAATCACCTATAAAATAAAAATTAATAAATGAAAGCACTTTTATTATTTAATGTCGATTCGTATGTAAATAAATTTTATAATAATTTTTATTATCTAAGATTATATAATGTTTCCTTTTTACAAAGAATTATTCCAGTCTTTATAATTTGATAAATTGTGAAATATGTGTGTATGCACACACCACACGCACCTTATCCGAGATTTTAACAATTACAATTACAGTATAAGGATTTATGGGAAAAACAATTTTTTGTACTATATACTAGAGTCAATTTGCAGAGAGAGAGACTAAAACGTTTCTGTACTATAAGATTAGAGCCTTTGCATTTAATAACACAATTTGACTCTTCATTTCTACTTTCATAAGACTTCGACAGATATTTTACAGTCTTTGAAAAGTATAAAAGAAAAAACCTAAATTTAAATTCTATTTGTTATATATATATATATATATGTACACATACATACATATGCAGGGTATATACTAATTGTAAATACGCTAAAAGATTTTTAGAAGCGACTTCTCTCAAATTCAAAAAAAAAACTTTATATGACCATACGTTTTTGAAATGGCTTAGTTTTAAAGACGCAGGGTGTCGAGTATGTTAAAGGAAAAAATTCGTTCTACAAATTTCGAAAACTCCAATTATCTTGATAAAATTTTATATATTTAGACATATATAAATTTTATTAAATATACTGGGGTACCAAAATTTGACTATATCTACATTCGGTGAACAACATAAAAGGATAATATTATAGTTGTCAGAGTCGAAGAACGCAACCTACGGCAGTGTATTTTAAGGAATTATTTCTTAAAATTTTTTAGTATATTTAGAGTATACACCCTATATATGTATAAAATCTCTACATGTACATATACATATATAAAGTAATTTATACATATATATAATAAATTGATAATAAGTAGTTAAACTTAGAAAATATATATATATATTATACATAATATAATCTATATTGTATAATAAATTGTATAATTAATATAAATTATATGTAAAAATATTTTTGTCTTACAAAAATAAATAATATATATTTTGAATAATTTTACGCTTGTGTGTGTGTATTTACACAAATATATATCTACAATATATATAATTAAATTATATAAACCACAATTACTTATACTCCTACATTTATATTCACAAATTATATACTAGTATAATGATTTTCCATTTATCATATTGCACCTATGGTAGTTTGAGCTAACTTGTTTTTTTCTTTTTATTCTCTATTATTCTTTCTTTTTCTTCCCTCATTAAAAGTTATTTAAATGGAAAGTATTTCATGCTTAATTAATACACAATTTTAATACATTTTACATTTCAGAAATTGTGAGAAATATGGTACAGATTCTAGTTTTTTAAAACCTTTGAACAAATAAATGGCCTGTATTAAAAATTTACATGAAATAAAAAATTTCATAAATAATATTTGACAAAATATTAATATCATTTTAAAATAAATTCTCGATCACTTTCTAGTGCGAATGACAAGTAATGTCTGCGTCATTTTCATTTCCTGTATTTTGAATCTCATCATCAATGTCAATATCGCATATTCTATGGGAATGTACATCTAAAGCTTCAGTATTTGTCGCTGCATCTAACAATGGTGATAACTTCTCAGCTTCACTGTCTTCATCTTGTCCTTGTCCCTTTAAAAATGTGTTCATGATTTATATCTTTACTAAAACAATTTTTATGTTATTCTATACAAATAAAAATTAGTTACTAAATTGAACTGAATTAATCAAATTTTAAAAATCATCATGAATACATACACGATCAATAATACTGCTGATCAGTAATATTGAATCAGTAATATTGATAGCATACATCAATATTTTTACAATCTTACTGAACAATCAATATTATTGACAGTACTTCACTTTAATTTTATGTACATTATATATTGTATGTATATTATCTGTAACTTCTACATTACATTCTTTAGTGTATGAATGTTATATCCATTATTACGAATTAGACTGATGAAAATACTGACGTATCTATTTTATTCAGTATTACTATCAATATCCGCGCTAAATAACGATAGTAATGTTCAAGAAATAAATTCCAGATCATATCAATCTGTCAATTAACTATACACGATCAGTAATATTCTCACTACTTGTTAATAAGAAAATAAAAAAAATAAAAAATTTATTCTTAAATGAATTATTAAAAAATAGTAAGTTAATATGAATGTTTTGACTTTATCAATTGTAAGTCTTTCTTAACATAAAACAATAATTTTAAGAACGGAAAATGGGAACACAGTATTATAAAATCAAAAAGTGATTGAACCTACATATGCTTCAATTTAATAACATAATTACAATATTCAAATATTTTATTCCAGATTTTGACCTTGTATAGTCAATAATTCTGGCAGTATTAGCTGATATCAAAATGAACAAGTATAAGTAACCCTATAAGCAGACTTGTCCATTTTAGATTATTGATATCAGCTACATTTTTAATATATGAAAGTAGCATACCTCATATAAGGAAGGTTGTTTTTCGTTAACCAATCTTAGTGTATCGCGTGTTCTTAAACCAGATTTATCACGTGAATGTACAGATTTGGTTCGCATAGCTGGAGATCTGTTATGCAACTCCTTTTGAGAACCTGAGTGCTCGTCCCTAGCTAATAATACAGACATACAGAATTCGGGAGTCAGACAAACGGCACCGCTAGATCTAGCCGATGTATCAGTTTCTTTGGCGGATATGTGTTTCAAGACTGGAGTACGTTCAGCAGACCTATAAATGTTCACATTTTTCATATAGTTTACGTAATAATGATTACTTGAATATTTAATTGTTAACGTTTTGTAATTATTATAAACATACATGATCGATACTAACCGATTTAGAGTTTCCGCGGCTTGAATGGCACTCGCCGTATCTGTGTCAGGAGTGTCCGGTGATTCTGGCGCAATGATGGCAGTTCGTAGAGTATAAGGTCCATTTAAAGCTTCTATCAGAGATACTGCTTCGTATCCCGATGGGATATTCTCGCAACTTCCCTGAAATAATAATTTTAAGGTATATCAGATAGAATGCTTAGTAACAATAACAAATAAAGACGCAGAGATTGAGTTAACTCAGAAACTGTTACAAAATACATTCAAAGGTATATTCGTGGATGGTTCAAATATGAACGATTTTTTTTGTATGACTATAAAATTATGGTATTAATGTTGATGTTTCATATTTAGATTAAGCAATAAATGGAAGTGGCTATTTACACTCTACTTAGTGGCCTCACGGAAATTGTTCTGCAGTTGTTGCAATATCCAAATAATAGTATCATTGTGCACTGTACATTTGGTAGCGTTGCTTTTTCCAAACTATGTATGCAAATTTAGACAGCTTTATTCACAAAAACTGGATCAACGCATGAATTTAAATGTGTCGTGCAACAGCACTCAATACTTTGTTCAAATATAGTAAAATCTAAAAAAAGAAATAACTATTGCGAAACCACAATTATATAAGTCATGAATAGATAATTCCACCTTTCACAAACAGTATAAATACCAACATTGATTTATATTCACACAAAAAATCATGTTTAAACCATCCACACACGTTTGAATGTATTTTGTAATAATTTCTGAGTTAACTCAATCTTGTTCATATTTAAATAACTCGTAATAAAAAATGATAAAATTTGTAGCTATCTGGTTATCTCACCTCCGGTAATGGTGGATTGGATATAATAGTGCCGGTCACCTTTTGAAGAGCTTTAATTTGCAAGAGTGCTCTGAATGGTGCGCGACATATTGGACAGTTGCTTGCTTGATATCTTAATGAATCAGCGCAGGAGTTGCACAGACACAAGTGTCTGCATGGTAAAATTAACGTATCGCGTACCTCGCTCATGCAAATAACACATTCAGAACCGTTGTCTTCGGTATCCTCATCGCTGCCTTGTTGCTAAATAAAAAAAGAAAGATAAAGTTCTGAAATTTTTTATTCTTAGCTTTATGTGAAATTTGCAATCAAAGTATTTTAAATTTTTTGTAAACAAATAATATATTTAAATCGTAAAACATTTTTATATGTGAGATAAAATAAATTATGAGTAAAGAAAAAATAAATAATATAAAAAGTACTATTTATTCTCTTTCTTACCTCATATGTATGCAAAAATAAAAAATATTTTTAAATATTAGTAGGACTAAATTTACGCCAAATATTCATTTAGGAACATTTAGAATATTCTTATTAAATTTCACAAAAATTGGAAAAAATGTAACTTCTTAGATGGAGTAGTGACTTATTTCAAAGGTTCTGACATTCGGACTTTAAAGCTTCGACATTAAAAACTTCGAAGATCGAAGATTAAAATAAAAAAAAATTATAGAATTATTTAATATAATAGTGACAATAGTAATAGTCACAAATAATATGCATATTCATATAAAATTATATGACAAAATCTGAAATAAAATATTTTAATGTTGTAAATGAAAGTAAACGTAAATTTAATCACTTTCATTGATTTTATAATATTGATTCAATTTTCCATTCTTAAAATTGTAAAATTTCAAAATCAGTAAAAAAAAATTCCTACTTTACAAACTTATAACTTTATCTGGAAACAAAAACGCATGTACATACTTATTTAAAATGATCTATTTCTTCAAATTATATTCTATCGCATATACTCATACCTTTGAATTTTCAGTATTTTTATTTTCAATTCCATATATCTCCTGTACCAAATAGCAAAGGCCATCTACATAAAGCTTTTGTTTAAGCGCTTTCAATACGTATGTTCCATCAGAATGTTTTTCAACCATGGCTATAGTTGTATGAGATTGTTTCAAATCGTCCAATCCTTCTTCTGCTACACAATGTATAGCTATCGGGATAATCTACAAATTTTAAAAAAGATGACTTATCTAAAAATATTAATCTCAAAAAAATACACATCATTGTATGTATATATGTATGTAAATATATTTTTGCAAGAAAAAAGTGACAAGTCAAAATTTTTCAAATTTTGTATTATGTGCTGATTATGTTCTAAATGCATTGGCTTTTTCAATTAGTAAAAATGATACAAGTTTATTTGAATTTAAATCGAAGGATAGAAAAAAATTAAAATTAACAAAGAAAAAATAACACAAACCAAAACATTTAAAATTAATTATTTATGGCAATATTAAACATAAGTTAAATAGATCTAATAAAAAATTATTTGTTTCTAGTTTTAAGTATGAAAGTAATATAAGTGTTAATTTTGTTATACTAAACTCTTAAAAAAATTATTTCTGTTTTGATTTGTCATTTTTTTTATTTTCATTTCTTTTTCTATTTTTTTTTTTATTAGATTTTGAATAAACTTGTATCACTTTTCTTTCTTTTCACCATTTTTTTTCTCTCTCCTAAACAATTTTATATTTTTGATTTATATAATTTTTATTTTGTAAAGGTGCAATGTGTGTGTATGTGTGTGTGCGTGCATGTGTATATATTGTAAATACTTCTCTGTCAGCATTGTACATCAGATCTTCTTCAGTATATAATGTTGGATCAAATATGTGCGATGTTTGTGAGAATAATTGGTTTGCTCCTTTTTTATAATGATATGTTTCAGAATTCATAGATGGATCCCGTGGTATATATCTAAATTTGATAAAAATAATTATTAAATGTTTTCTGTTTTTTTTTTTCAGCAATAAGTATATATAACAGACATAACAGATTTGTGGACACTCAATGAGTACATTCCTAACAATTGTATTCAATAGAGAAAATTGATGTCATCAGTGAGTGATTAATGATTGCTTTTTCTGTTTAATTTTTCACTGAATCCAAGTGTAGTAATGTAACTAATTCAAGTGTATATCCAATCATAGTAAAGAATTACTGAACATTCATTGATTAGTTTTCTCTGCTGAACGTAGCCAATAGGCATATTCAAATGACTTAACAGTTGAGTGAGCACTTGATGTTATTAATATATTCAATTGTAAAATAGGTTTAACATATGATATACATACGCAATTCCCTTTGTTGAAACCTCTTCTGTACAAAAGTAGTAAATTGTTATTGCACATCTTACATCACAGTCGAACACAAATTCAATATTGAAACGATTAGGTTTCTTGTCAATATCACTGTCTCCATAATGTTTGACACTGTGGTAATGTGAGGACGTTGATGTCTGATCCATATTACGAACCAACCTCAGAGATTCCTTGCGTATATTAACTAAGCTTTTTAAAGTCTTTGTAGGATCATTGGCTTGTGGTGGAGGATACGGAAACTGCAAAAGATACAAAAATTGAAGCATAAATATAATTAGCAACAGAAAATAAATAAAAGATACATTTACAGCCAAGATATATTCAATATACACATAATATACAATCATATTTAATAAATTCTTTGTATATAAACATTTTGCTAATATATAAAAAAGAAAAACTTTATATTGCACTATAATGTTCATACAGGAGTTGGTCGGCTGCCTAAGAAATTCAGATCTGTATTCTCTCCAAAGAGATATGCTTCAGGCTGAGGTGTGTCGAATCGTTCGCCACCCATTATAAAATGACTACCGAAGTAGGATCCTATTCATGAGAAATTCGCATAATTAGTGAAACGACAGAAAGAATGTTATGCATATTTTGTAAATGCAACATATGAGGTTTAATAAATTGAAGAGTAAATCAAGTACCAGATCGTGGAGGATATTTATATGCGTGGTTTGAAGTGATATCGACCTCCTCGACACCAGCGTTCTGCCTGCTTGTCAACGATCCCATTTTGTTTGGCAATCACAGTATACACAGCACACGGTCAAGTAGCACGTACAGTATTCGTTTTTCGTTCGACAGCAAAGAGCAGAAACGCATATACATGTATTCGTGAAAATTCACCAAAATTCACGACTAAAGGATTGAAAGTTATTCAAAGTCTGGCAAGTCGTCACAATTTGCGTACATACATGAATAGAATTAATTCGACTTTTCGATTTGTTATTATATTATTGATAAAAAATAAAAAGGACAGTGAAATCGCGGCAGCAACATAAATGTGGTTTTATGTGTAGTCTATAGTGTATGTGCATATATACATACTTTTAGAACTAAGAATTCTGATTGGCTGCTGCTTTTCTGTCAAGATAATTGCTTCTGGGCATTTGTTATTGGCTCACTGCGATCGTTACGTCATGACACGTGACATACGCGCAATGCTGTGAAAAGCGTTTTATGTGAAATCGTACCTTTTTACAATAGATATTTATTTAAGATAAATACGTAATTTAAGCCATTTATTTTGAATTTTAATGATGATATATATATTCGATAAGTTTTTTTATTTAAAAAATTCTCGTTACTTGATTTTGTAGTATCGCTACTTGGGCTAAACATTTTTTAAGGTTAGGAAACTTATCATTTTCGACTCTTTTAAGGTTTGAATTAAACAATTACCTGGGATAAATTTAAACTTTTGATTTTTAGATTGAATTCGAATTGAATATAATTATATATGAAATTTGTATTTTAATATGCGTTGATATGATCCCATATAAATTTTCTCAATTGATTTCAATGCCAAGTTAAAATGAGTACTCGAGTGTTGAATGATATTCATAACGATTTAAAACAACTTATAACAGTGCTTACATCATTTGAGGTATGTGTACAGTCAAGTTGACATTTATAACGTATGGGGAAATAATGAAGTCTTACAAAGTATAAACTTTTACATACTCAGGAAGATGAAGAAGGATTTCGGATATGTGAACGATTCTGTTTATCAAATATTAAACACCATCGCTATCTTTCTATTGATAGTCATGCTACCAAGGAAGCAATAAATGCAGTGATTACTAAATTTTCTATCCATGGAAAATTTGAGATTGCTAAAAAGTTTCAGGAACTGATTGATTCTTTCTTGTCCAGTTTTAATTTTGAGCAACATCCACAGTACGATCTACAGTGGTATTTGTTGACGTTCTTATTAGATTTATCTACTGAAACGCATAAGTCTAATTTAGACAGCTTAAAACTCATACGTGGGGAACACAGTTTTAATATTGGGAATGAAGATAGCATTACGGATGAAATTGATTGGGCACAGTATTTAAAGGAAGGCCAGGAAAATTTCTTTTGTGATTATAAAAGTGATGATAGCGAGAGCGTAGGTATTTTTGCAAGAAATATAAAGATAAATTTTTCTCATTTATGTTATTAACCTTCTACAATTTTTATACTTTTACAGGAATGGTCTGATTTAACAGAAGAAGGAACCGATGAAAATGATATTTCTTTACCAACACAAATATGTAATATTCAATTAGATATTGCACAGCCTCTCGAAGTTTCTGATGGTACAACAGATAAATTCTCCCTGGCATTAGTACAAAATCTTGAATCTAGGAAGTGGCTCTTATCAAATGTTCAAACTGATTGGTGGAATAATCTAAAATGTCAAAAGTATTCTGTTATTAAACGATCTTGTGACACCAGTATATGTGATATATGGTATTTTTTTTTATTTTATAATACTTGTTTTGTTAAATTATTTCATGTTAAAGACAATAGTTAAATATATGATATTGTAAATTAATACTTATAGGCATGAGACAAATTTGTCAGCTGTGTATAAAGTGGCTACACTCAGTGAATATCAAGTATGCAGAGAATTGTTATGGATGTTTTATGTTCAAACGTCAATGGTAGTGTTTCAAGAAGATGATAAGTCAAAATTCTCAATACGTTCGAATATATCTATACCGAGTTTGACAACTGTATGTTGTTTTTATCATGTAAAAATTTTATGCAATCTTTCATTATATTAAATTATTATATTTGTGTATATTACTTTCAGACTGCTTTTAAAAGTATCTTAACACCATTTTGCGAATATTTTTCGATGATATATGATATTGAAAAATTTGGATCAGATTTGGAATTAACTTATAATCAAGAATTGGAAGTTCAGAATCCTCCTTTGACCTACGAAGCATATAATGCTGCACTTAGGCAATATCTATATGAATTTAAGATTGAAGTAATTAATATGGAAAAAGATATTATGAAGCAAGGTAAGTTCATACATTTGTTTGTTTTATTACAAGTCTTACTAATAATAAATATTTTTATTTTAGAAAATTGCAATACATTTTTATCTCTATCAGCTAAACTGAGAAGACATTTGAATATTATAAAAATAATCTATGACATACATCAGAATATTATAACTGATTGGAAAGTTAATCCTAATTGGAAATGTGCATCTCGACTATTATCATCTTTATATTATGAAATGCAAAATTCTCATAGTCAGGAAAGAACAAATATTTGTATAAATTTGTACCTACGTAGCCTTACTGTTTATCTTAACATAATTGATACTTGGCTAAGTGAAGGTCGATTAGAGGATTGGCGAGATGAATTTATAATTGTAAGGTAAAAAAGTAAAAAAAAAAATAATTAGAATTAAAATTTACTGTAATAATAATTCATCATATATATTTTTATGCTTATTTTTATATTTGTTATTGTATATAGGGTCACAGAAGATGAAAACGATGAACAAATTGAAAAATTTACGATTCGATTATCAGATAATATCTGCTTGACAGATCCAATTATGCAATTTTTGTTGCAAAAAGTGCAACATATGGGTCATAGTATTGAATTACTTGTATCTTTAGACCGAATCACTGATATATGGAGAATGGATAATGAAGATAATGGTCTCTAATTGTAACAAATATATTATTATTTTATGTTACAAGCTTATATTTTATTATAATTTATTACAGACGTGAGGATTTCATTAAACATTGAACTTCAAAGTAAATTGTTGTCTGAAATATCTAAGTATAGTCCATCAGTGGAAGAGACAGATACTACACTGCAATTAGATGAAATATTCTTACAAGAACATGATGCTGATATTGAAAAGAATATAATACAACAATTGTCAACTTTACACAATCCTTTTTTTATGAAAGCCATGGAAGATTACATGCCGTGTGAATTATATAAAAACGATACAGTGGATGCTCCTGTGCATAATACTCACGATTCTAAAGCAAAGCAAGACCAGATACATAACTTATACAAAGAGTTTGTACATATATTTATTAACACTTAGATTAATTTGTACATTAAAGTAATATATTTATTCTTTATAGACTACAAAAGATAAAGTATATATTGCCAATACAAACCATTTTAAAGAAAACATTGTCTGAGATTTTAATGTTACGTTATAACAGTGCTAGCAAATTAGTAAAAAATATTATGATTGATGAATACAAGCTGCAAACACATTTAAAGCTATTGAGGTTTGTTTATATGATGGAAGCTGGACACGTTATGAATAAATTCTATCAAATCTTATTTTACGAGGTAAAAAGAAAAATATATTAGCTTTTTAAAACAGCACTTTTTGTGGTATAACATAATTATCAATTTTAGATTGAAAATAATCAAATGTGGGCTAATTCGTATTTTCTGTCATGTATTCTTGAAGAAATATTTTCTCAATATTGGCCAGATACAAGTTCACGCTGGTCAGTTACAGTTCATGGCAATATCACTACTCATCAAGTATTACAAGCTGTAAATAACATAACACTGCATTATACAGTGGAATGGCCTATAAGTATTGTATTAACTAAAAAAGTTTTGGAAAAGTACAATGAGATATTTAGATTTCAATTGAAATTAAAATATGCCTTGTGGACATTAAATAACTTAAGATTTTGTGGTAAATAATGATTACGGTTTAAAGTACGATATGCTTTTGCGACACATTTGTATTATTCTACCTCTTTTCTCAGATCTAGAGGATTCTAAGACATCGTGTATAAAAGATAGAATGGAACAGTTTCAGATAAGACGTCTTGAGAGCTTGAGATTTTGGTTATTACACGCGATAGGATCTATACATACATATTTGTCCGGTCAAGTATTACAGAGCCTGGGTTTTATACTAGAAAAAGTTCTAACTCAGGCAGATAGTCTCGATACTATTATATTAGGTAATAATTGCAATTATCTTCAAAGGAGGAAAAATTTTTGTCTTAAAGCATGATTACTACAAAATATAAAGTTTCCTTTCGAAAAAGTTATTAGGTGAAATAGCTTTAATAATTTTAATAAACGATTTTTTTGCAGTGCATAATGAATATTTGAGCAAAGTTTACGAGCATTGTTTATTAACAGAGGAATTTAAAGATTTAATGACAACTATAAATAATGTATGTACATCTATTGGCTAAATAATGATGTAATATCAATTTATATAGAATCTATCACTCAATTATGTTGTAGATGATTGAAATGTGTATTCACATACGAGATCGGTGGTCACGCAAAAAATTATTGTTAGCTGCTACAGAATTGGATGTGATGGAGCACAGTTATATAAAGTATCATACGTATCTTGCCTTAGCTTTGCACAATGCAGTACAACATAAGGATGCGGATTATTGTAAGTTTTATAATTTATTAGCCGTACTTAACATATTTCAATATAGTTGCCCATAGTTTTGTAGTCAATAGATCATTTATAAATATTATTAAAATAATTGCCAATCATTATAATGTTAAAAAAATGTGTTCAATTATTTTTTAAATTAATCACTGAAAGATATATCAATGTGATTAATATATACTGACATATTGAAGCCTGAATATATATCATATATCCGAAAAAATATTAACTAGTAGATATTTAATTGTTGCATGATGATTAACAATATTGCTTCATAACATCCTTTCCTTGCTTTATTTACAGTGACTGCCTTAAGTTCAGCCTTTAATTGCAGTATGCCGTGTGCTTAATTCTGTATTAATAAAATATCAACTCTTATCGATTTAATAATATTACCAGTGTGTATTTTGATTTTTCCATTTGGGATTAACAACATCAATTCCATTTCACTTATATCAATCATTGCTTTATACTACACAATATACATGTAGTATTTAGCCGTCATTTTACTAGATCAATATGTTATTACTTTGTTTATATGATTAATTATAAATTATTTATACTAATTATTTTTTAATACAAACTTATGCAAAGATCTGTAATGTTTTTTATAACATAAGAATTATGTATTTATTTTTTAAAACAACTGTTTTTGTATGTATAATTGAAAGAAAAATGTTATTTTATTTTTTAGAATAAAAATTGTTTTTGAAATTATATTTACTCTTCTATCATTGTGTATGATTACCAATATAATTGTAATCCAATGTATCAACTTCCAATATCCTATTTTCTTATTCGATCCTTTGTAGATAAATTGATGCCAGCATCTACAACCTGCATCAATAGTAAATTATTCGAAGATAGTGACAAATTTATTAAACTTATTACTGATCTTAGTCGAACCTTATTAACAGAAATTGCGCATCAAAGTTTACCACCATCAGGCATTCCCCTACCAATCCCGAAATTAATTTATGAAAGGACTTTGCAAATGAAGTAAGAATAGACTATAGTGTATAGATATTTTTTAGTCAAAGTTTATACAATTATTAACTTTTTAAAGTTTTAGTTCAGAATCATTGTTACCCGTTGAAGTATCCTTAAATGAGTATGAACAAATTTTTTCTTACATGCGCTGGTATCAACATGAAGAACAATTCTTTGTTCTAAATTCGTCATCATGTACCTTACACGACGAGATAAAAAATATTATCACTAATTCATAACATTTATAAAGAGTATTTTAAGCGGAGATATATAAAAATAAAAATATATTCAATAATATTATTTCAAATACAATGAAATGTTTTCTATTATGATTTAATAAAATCACGTAATTTAGATTTAAAAATTGCAAACTGTACATATCTTTCAATTCTAAAACTAGAAGAACGTAAATATAGTAAAATGTATAGATATATGTAGATCTCTTTCTGAATACACATGGCACGTGCGCGCGCACACACACATACACACACACGCATATTCTATGTACGTTCTGTTCATTAAATATACAAAGAAAATAATAAGATGTATGCTCTTCAATATTCTATGCAAATATTAATTATAAAAGGTTCGCCATAGTAATGAAGTTAGTTTAAAGTAACAATTTAAAAATATAAAATCATAACATACATATATACTTGGTAATATATTATAATAACTTACATATATTTTTTCGATATGAAAAAAATATATTTTTCATGTTTAATAATATATTATAAAAAGAAGAATATATATTAAGGAAGGAAAAATGTGTAGTGTTTGTAATATATATATATATATATATTTGCAAAAAAAAAGAATTCCAAATAATTAATAATGAAGTTAATATTAAGATTTGTTATGTTATATTCGCTTAGTAAGTTCTATACAAATGTACATCAAAATTAACTCTGTGCGATTACAACGGTACCATTTTGTCCAATAGTTCCAGTTTGTGACACCGTAGGAGCATTCGATGTTTCAGTCGTGCTAACGGGAGAGGATGAATGATTGGTCGTATTTGTAGCAGCTAATGCCTTGTTTCGCAATTCGAATACTTGTTGTATCGCTTTGCGGAAACACAGAAAGTTATAGTCGATTACACCTATAAATCGGGAAGACAAACGAAAATAATAATACAATTAATGCACATTATTATACTGCCACGTAAGAAAATGTAATTTTCTTTAAACATATATGATATTAAAATTATTATTTTCACCTTGTCTATCGAAATTATCCTCTCGTAAAATGCAAACCAATGCTAAAAATTTATTTACTTCTCGCAAATACAAGATTGTACCGTTATTTAATTTAATTAAACTGGAACTTTGATTATCAAATGCAGCAGCTTCTAAATCTTCTCTCAATCTGGAATACATATAAGTAAAATACAAAAAATAAATTAAATACATACGTATGCAATATAATTGTTTACCCATATATGCAAGAAACGTCAATAACAACATCAATCATATCACAACATAGTTCATAACTTTGCATATCAACAGGTGAGCTATCCGTTGCTATATATATTTTTGAAACAACATCAAATAGAAATGCCTTCTCAATTGCTGAATTCTGTAAATATAATTATATTAAATAAATATTTTAGAGAATTTGCTGTAAAAAAGAGGAAAGGATAAATATTATTCTTACTGATATGAGTATATTAAGTAAATTTTCTAAAGTAGGCAGCTGTGGTATTAACTTCTGAACAACTTTGCTAAATGCTTCAAATATACTGTGGTCATATATTGAAGTCAAATGAAAACTTAAATGTATTTGATCGCATCCTAGAAAAAATATGTAAAGTGGGTAGAAATGGCACTTTCTTGTTTTTTTAAATTCTTATCACAAAACCTTTTTTTTACCAGCATCTGCTAAATCATCATTGGCCCTTGTATGTATGTCCCTTTGTGTTTCCATTTTACAGTCATCTGACAATCCATCTACTTTATGAATAAAAACTTCAAACTTAATAGCCTGATTAACCTTGTTTGCCTTTGTGACTGTCGCGTGAAGTTTATTAAGTGCCTCCATGTAATCATCTTGTGCATCTATTACAAATACCAATGCTCCACAACCACCAAATATCATGTCACTGTCAAAGGTAGGATCAAAGAAGTCAATTTGTCCAGGAAAGTCCCATATTTGAAATTGCACAAAGCTTGAGTTACTTATATCATCTTTAATTATTTTATTTGTACTTTCTAAGAACAGTGTCTCATTGGGTGACATCTTATGGAAAACCACCTTTTGTATCGATGATTTACCACTACTGAAGAATAAAGAAAAAAGTGACATCAACATAAGTATCTTAAGAAATTTGTAGAGTATCATCTTAACACAAAGAACTTAATCATACCGTCTGAGACCCATCAGAAGTATTCTAGGCTTTTGTTCTCCGGCTAGTGGATCCATCGAACCCTCAGTTTCACCATCAAATGGTGCATATCCAAAATCCTTTGGAAAAGAACTGCTTTGATAATGGTCATCATAACCACTTTGATAATGATCATCATCATCCTAGAACAATATATATCGAAAAACTTTATTTAAAAACCATGAAGTTTAAATGGCTTATAATAAATGAATTCTTAGTGCTAAAGATGTAGCATTATTGTTCATTCCAAGTATAAATATACATAGTTTACTCCAACATATATGTGCACTTAAATTAAGTAAAATATTCTACAGAAATACGAGTAATGTTATATACATATATATATAATTTTTTTTTATATCAGTACACTCTTAATTATCGCAATTCCCTCGATTAAAATTCAAACAGAAGTAAATTCATGTTTTTATCCACTTGCCATGTTCATAAGATTAAATAATCTTTGTGTCAAGATTTCAACTGTTTTCCTAGAAGAATACAAACTTAAAATCCGAAGAACGTCACAGTGCCACGCTGTATCAATTGAATCACGATTACATATAATGGAAAATTATATATACACTATAAAGTTTAATATGATATCTTTATTTACAATTGGCGTAGGGTGTGTGTGATGACACAATGCTCAATGTTGCCAACTCAGTGAGCCGGCCCCTACTGGCCTATTTTGCATCGTGCAATAGTGGACGCGTTCAGTGGATTTATTCTTCTACATCTAAAATTCTGATTGGATGATCTAAAAGAATACACCAATAACAGAGAGCACTCACTCAACTGTTGAGTCCGCTGAACGCGCCCATTGTGTTTCCAGCTTCACTTTTACCAACTCCAATTAACTTAATCGACTGATTAACCAATTGGAATTGGTCAATCGCATTTGTCGTCAAACGAAATGACAAATGCGATGATTAATTCCAAAAGACTAAACGGCCGATTAATGCCCAATTTCTGCAACTCTAGATAACTTTATCTAGGAGATATCTCCTAGAATACAATGGAGATATCTCCTGGATAAAGTTATCCGCAATTTATCTGAAGTGAAATGAAGAAATTGGCTATAAGCCTACGTTCGGGTAGAACGCTTTAAGCGCTTATAATTATTCTTCTTTATCATTCATTAAACGCAAAATAAGGATGGAAGACCTGAGAGCGTCCAAATCAAACACAGCCCAAGTAAATTGGAATTGGTGCGTGTAAAAGTTATCTCATTTTTTTTCTTGACTTATAGATTTTCCATAAGTAACTTAAATTTCAATAACTTGGTTTTTCGAATCTGTGGCAACTCTGTGTCATACAATCATTATAATACAATTAAAAAATGTTTGCAATTTTTTTATTTACCTTGGTAAAAAATACAGACAATGCAATTATCAAGGACAGATTTGTAAACAATATAATTTATCCTTTGAAAGTACAATCAAGTATTTGTTTGTAGCAACGACGCCCATAATAGGAGAAGCTTGGTAATCAAGATCAATAATTCTTTGTTTAGCAGACTTTGCTCCGACATCAGGTCTTTCGTATAGGAACACATGTCGTGTGTGTTCCACTATAGCTATATACGAACCATCTATGATAAAATAAATATTATATTAATATTGTTAAATAAAATTAATATTAAAATATAATATACTCTATAATATATATATAAATAAAGAAGAGTTGTAACAACAATATATACTCTATTAATATAATAATATCAAAAATTATTATTTATTAATATATCAGAGATATTAAAAAATGTTTCTGCTGTCTTACCAATTGGAGATACACAAAATTTTTTATTGTTTTTGCTAGCCTCGACATAGCCAAATCCAGGAAAGCTATGGATGTGTTGTAAATTCCATTGAGTATTATCGTTTTCATTGCTCATTTCCCAGATACAGGCATCATGATCGTATCTTAGGCATACCGTTTGCCCATATTTTCTTTTGTATGTAAACAACACATGATTGTTGCTTCCTAATCTAGCTAGATGTGTGGTCGCCTGTGTAGCAAGATTAATCCTTTGTAAAAACTTATCTTTTCCTTCTAAGTCACACTCTTCTAATTGTTCAACATTAAATCCCACACAAGGTTGATCCCCTCCAACACTGTTATTTTGCTGATCTGTACATAAATGTGCTAGCCTGTATAAACAATAATACATTATATAATGTTGAAAATAATCATGAAAATAATGGAATAAAATAATTTAAAAATATAATTAAATATTATATAAAATGTTAACTAAAATTTAAAGTTATTGAGAAAGCCTAAAGCTATATGTATGTCTATATGTTTAACAATTATAAAATATAACAATGATAAAAAAAGTACCTAGCATGAATTTCTGCAGCAAGAGCCTCATTAGGTAAACATTCGCCTCCAGTATCACCTTTAATTAATTCACTCCACATTAATCCACTTTCAGATTTGCTTAAATCAATTTGCAATGTATCTTCTTTATGCCTCCAAGTTGCCATATTCTCTTCCAATCTATGTTGACATTCCCCTTGTATTAATATTTCATTGTCTATTGTAACAGATAATTCTAATGGCTTAATGTTTATTTTAGGTCGTTTATTACTATGCTGTTTCGATACTTTAATCCAAACAGTAAGTGATTCTTCATCTTGTGACCAATAGTACTTTGGAATTTTTATTTGCGAACTAACGTTCGGTTTTTCTGTTTCAGTTTCAGTTTTTTGCAAGTTTTTATTCTCGAAACCAATATTATCCTGACAAATAGAATGCAAGTAATTTCCATTTTCTTCTACATAAGCATAATCTACTGTGCCTTGTACTTTCAATATCTGTTTATCTATATTATACACTTTCGTTATTTCACTTTCCACACATAAACCATAAGATAATAATATAAGCTGTGTATATTTCTTTTGATTATCATTTGTAGCAATAGCGCATAAGGTTAAAATAATTTTGGAGTTCTTCTCTACATATTGAACATTCATAATAATTGCAGGTTTTTCAGGATCTATTAGAAAAACCTTTCTATTTTCTTCTGTATATCCGATCAATATATGCAGGTTTCCACCACCATCAGAAATTGCCACAATATTATTCGAAGTAAATCCAATTGATGGATTATATGTTATTTCTAATGAGCTTGTATCTGTATGTAATTTATATACTTGATCCAAGGAACCGTCTTTATCCAGGCGCCAAACAACTAAAGTTTCATCCACAAACCAGCATGACATGTCATACACATTGTAAAATAAATGATTATGGAAAGCAAAGAGTCTTGCTTCTAACAAGGATTCTTGATTATGATTCGGCTCTAATCTGTATACATCTGGAACATACTTTTCTGTCAGAAGATTCTGTACTCTTTAATTGTTTGTTAACATATAATTGTATGTACATTATTCCATTGCACTTTCATATTTATACTTACTGTTCTTTAACTTATTTTCAGAAATTATAGGAATAACCTCATTGAAAAATTGATATTTCTCAAAAGATGAATTTATCAAACTCTTATTAGGACGTAACTCAATTATTTCTGTCATTGCTGCTTATATCAATATAAAAGAAATATCAGTAAAACATGCATAAATTCTTAAACTGATGATAGGACAAGCCACTGACAGAATAACCTCAACCTAACCCTAACTTAACTTAACCTATAATCACGATCATGGTCCATGTCCATGGAGCCATCAGCCATGGAGGTAAGATAAAATGAAGTTATAAAATATTTGGAACTCATGTTTATAAAAAGTACAAATTTAATTAAATATATAAATGTTTCAACATATTACAGTATATATTATAAAATATAAAGTTTAACATGATATATAGATATATACATAATATATTTATACAATTCTATAAAAAAAAACATTTTTATATAAAAATATTTGATTTCAACATGAAAATACTTATTAAATATACAAAAATATATTTTATATAATAAATATCTTATAATATTATAAACTTAATCAATATTTTTAACATCTAATCCACTTAAAATTCTTTTACTATATAATTTTACTTAATATATACAAAAGTATATAGACTTGAAATTGTTTTTACTGAACAACAAATTAAAAAATATAAAACTTTTGTTAAAAGTCACCTATAGCTACAATAATATTAGATAATGCTTTTCTGGCATCGCTTTCTTTAAATACATTTAAAATTTCCATCGCCTTTTGTGAGTGTTTCTTCACAAGCTCTTTAGTTAATCCAATACCCGGACCAGCTGCAACAATTTCAAGCACCTATGAACATAAATTATTCATATAATTATCTGTTGAACACAGGATAAGGGATAGCAATTAATTCGATCATGCACCAATCTTATTAAATATTGATTATTTAAAAAACCTTTAAATAGTCAACATTCTCAACCGAGTCCAATCCCTTATCGAGCTCTATTAAAAGTGATGGATCGTGTTCAACATGGAACATAATTGGAGCAGCACACAAATTTTGCAAAATTCCTTTGTCTTTATTAATACATAAACCTAAGTCCAAGGAAGCCTGTAAAAAATTTATTGCAAAAAATTATTAAAGATATTATAAGTATTCTACAAAAATATGACTAAATATATACAAATTTATAATATAAAATATAATATAAAATACATTACCTGCCAAGCTAAAGCTAAGTGTTTGCCAAATTCGTAACCCATCTCTTCTATTTCTTTGCTGTGACCAGCTATTTTTAAAGTACTTTGACAACTTTTTCCGAGCAAAGATCCAGCACCATAAGTATTCAAAAGTGTCCATTCCTTTAATGCGTAACCCGTGCGATCCTCAGGTGGTATTGCCGGTATGGGAAAATTTTGATTGTCTCTGCGGGCTACAAACTCTGCTTGACATAAATCTCTTACTGCAGTTGATATTAATAACAAAAGCTGAAAAATATTTTTTTATTAAATAATTACTAAATACTTTTAGTAATTATTACAAAAATTAATTAAATAATTATTAAAAACTTCCTAAATTAAAAATGATATTTTCCTTCTTTTGTAATAAATTACAATGACATATAGTATAAACAACTTAAAAATAGCAAGTATGTATACCTACATCTTGATTTTTGAGTGCTGCCATTTCGATACAACTATTACTAAGCAAGTAATCGCCACACAACAATGCTATTTTATTGCCGAAAGTTATATTGTTAAATTCTGTGGAATCCAAAGAGCTCGTATTTGCTTTTATGTTTACTAATCCTCTATGTATTAAATTACTAGTGCGTATCATTTCTGTAATTTCCGCCAGTGCTCTTTGACTGAAACATGTTTATATAATACATTTGAGGTTTTCACGGGTATTACCAGAAGATTTGCCTTAATGTAAACATGTTATATTCTTCTGGTATTTTTTATTAATATCTTTATCCTTGATGGTATATTTTTTGTAATGTCAGCAGGATTTAAATTTTTATATATAATATACCTGTGTAATACACCTGCAGCTTTATCCTCTTCTATAGGTTTTGCATTTAAGTGACCAGCAGCTTTGGAGATTAACAGTAAAATAAGACCAAATGCCTGAGTATTACGTCCATTATAAATAATGGACCTGTTAAAGAAATAAAAAAATAAAAAAATTGTAAATAAAATTTCTATTTCTAGAAAATTTTATGATAATTTACTTGGCTGTTTTTAATACAGGATGATTTGATCCAACTAGCTTCCTCAAATGCAATGCAACGTTGGCAATCTCATCACTCAATAGCCATCTTAAGCTTAAGAAGGACGTCGGATATCCAACAATCTTCTCTGCCTCCGACATAGTTTTATTCCAGTCTGTCTTTTGACTTACTAACTTGGTCTCAGCTTGATTAACATTACTAAAGTGAAATCTATCTCTTGTAGAAATACAAACTGTTCTCTGAGTTTGAAAAGTCTTAAATGATTTTGACAGAATCATAGTCACAAGATTGCTTTCTTTCCAAATTTTGAATACAGCTGTATTTGCAGACATTTTTTGTCTAGTTTATTTTTTAAACTACTATTTTAGAATAATATTCTAAAAAAAAATATCAATTAATCAGCAAACATGAATTTTGGTTAAAGTTTATTTTTCTCTATCTCTAAGAAACAGTTAGATAATAAAAATTATTTGTTCAGATTTACAAGCATAATATTAAAAAAAGAAAAAAGCTCTTAAATAAAATACTTAAATAATACTAAATAGACAAGAATTTAAATATAATATAGTTGAGAAATTATGCCTTGAAGATTAACAGAAGAAGTATGCGAATCATTAAAACTTTCTCTTCTGACCCAACTTTCCAAAATTTCTCATACAATCGTTTCTCCTATACTTTTATAAAAAAAATATATTATTTTATACTGAAAACTTCTATTAAAAGTTTCTGAAAATCCTAGCAAGCAAAGTTGACGACAAATTAATATTAATAAAATTATATCTTAAATAAATTGCTTGCGTCACTATAAGATTATTCTGTAATAAGATTAGTCTGTAAAAATTTCTAATGGCTACTTTTTTTATCTTCGAAATCAAATTAGAAAAAAGAAGCTGAACATATAAGATAAAAAAAAATTTGATGGAATAACGTCTTGTACGAGATGAAAAAATAGGTCAGAGGCAATTCATTCATGTGTACGTAAAAACGGCGTAATAATCGCTTATGAAATTATCATATTTTTTCATGACATTTATCAAGTTACTTACCGATTCCTGAGCGGGTTAAATTAAATAAACAAAATATTGTCCACACAGCTTAACAGTCGTTCAAATCGTATTTGCGAGTCTGGAATGTGACACTCCGTGTCTTCCTACATAGGATATCTAGAGAGCATTGACCACGATGTTACTGAAGACGGCTAGTCTTATTGGAGATTGGAGTTGGAAATTTTCAACATTTGTATGATTCAAATACATAAAACTTTTAGCTGACAATTAATATTTGACAATCATTCAGATAATCTTAAATTAATTAATTAATTATTTTTATACTACACACAGTTATCATTTGTCAAACACAAATAAAGATATTTTTATGCTGACCTTTTTGTACTGTACCATAGACTTATGTAGGTCTGTTTAATACTGATGTTTGACTGTTTGACGTTTATTTCAGTTCATTTTTAGTGCATATATATACTTATATATGAATCTAATATAAATATATATGTATAAGTCTATTTTTTATTTCTGCACTAATTCAGACAGTGCAAGAATAAAAAAACAGACCTCTATTGACCCATATTCGTTCATTCTAGGAGTCACGAATTATGTTTTAAAGAGTTTGATGGACCAATCAGAAAAAAAATTTTACAAATTGACCAATTAAAAAACGCTTCAAAGCATTTGTAGCATCGTGTTAACCGTGCCGTATAAATGTATATTCAGTTCTACAACAGTATTATAATATGATTGGCATATTCCGTTAGATATAAAAATTTAGACCAATGTGTCGTTCTGCATCTATGTATACACTCGTGCGAAATGGATTGTCATGTTTACCACGTGTTTTACGGCTAATCCATATTGAGGTTATGGTTGTCGCGATGTCATGATTACATGATTGCCACAGTACGATTTGTAATGATGTTTATTTTGGTATCTATTTAGTATTTTCACGAGAAAAAGAAGAAATTATAGAAAAGAAAAGAAAACCGAGAAACATGTTGAGCGCATTGTACAACCGTATGCCATGCGGGATAGTACGCAACAAAAAGCTGTGGAGCATGACAAGATACATGTATAGCAGCGGAGTAACGACACGATTAATATTGTCTTATAAATTCCACATTACCAGGCGTAATTTCATGTTTTCTCCTTTCAACGTCAGGGTAATACATCTAACAATTCTATATTTATAGATGTTGCATCATTACATTGGCATTCAGATATCGATCATATAATTATATACAGGGCTGAACAAAACACACTAGTAAAATACAAAAAGTTGTCATTCTTAATATTCGAATTACAAAATACAAAATATATATAATGTTTCAAATGTTTTATTTAAAATATCAAATTTTTTAATCTTTTTATTACAATAGCATACAATGTAAAATTTTTTCAACAAAGCTAAACACTGATATTATGTAGAAATTTTATTTCATTTGCATTAGAATTTCCAGAACAAACAGTAACTCTTATTTCTTTATTTGACTATATTTCAAAATTGACTACCAGTACAAAATCTATAGTATATGTGACGTAATATGATAAACTATAGATTTCATTATTGACAGTAAATTTTAGAATATAGCTTTTATAACAATCACTCTTTAATGTATGTTAGATAGGATTGTGTAAAATACATGATTAAAGTATTTGAAATATAAAATACACACAAAATAATATTAATCTAGTGTTTGAAAAATGAAAATAATAATTTTATATATTTGTTGAAATCCAAAATATAAACTGTATTTTAAATACTATATTTTAATACAAGTATTTGAAAAGTATCCAGCCCTGATTATATATTACATAAATATGTGTACACATATGATTTGGTGCATATTTACTTTTAATATTATGTATGAATATACATATAATATTTTATATCATAAACTTATTTTACTTCATTATTTGTTTAGTTCCATATTTTATAATATTTTATTATATTTTGCACATTATTATATTTTATCATCTGTAATACAATCAGTAATAAATATAAATATACTACAATCATCTTGTGCAATATTATATCAAGTTTCAAGATTTTATGTACAAAGAAATTTTATATTATTGAAGTGTATCATGATATATAAAATATAATAATCATAATTTATTGGAAGATTTATTATAGATGACTTGTTTGCAATAAAGATTTTTGTTGCTGCTTGTACAGACGTAATCATCCATGTACAATGGGGCGAACATCGAGAAAACGCCGTCAGAGGAAGAGACTTAATTTCATAAAATTGAATGAGAACACCGATGAGTCTTTGACACATTTAAAGTCCTGGCTTCTAAGTGAAAACTGCATGTCCATTCGTTATTTAATACCAGAGTATTTTCCCCTCTCAGGCAGAGGCTTAAAAACACTAAAGCGCATAGAGAGTGATGAAGTACTGATTCAATTACCGCTTCGAGTATTATTAACGACAGACACCTTGTTGCAGAGTTATATTAAAACTTTGTTTTTGTATACCATTGACAGTTTTAATCCTCAATGTATGCTTGCAATGTTTCTTGTGTACGAGACACATTTAAGTAAAGAGTCAAAGTGGTATCTTTATCTAAAAACACTGCCGCAGTCTTTCACGAATCCGGATTTTTGTTCAAACAAAGAGAAAACACTGTTGCCAAGCTTTATATCGCATCCTTTATATCAAGCACATAAATTGCAACAAGATTTTTCTTTGCTAATGAAAGTTGTAAAACGTATGGATGGTGATAGAAGTCATTGTCCACATTGCAATGTGCATCTGCAAAAGATAATAACATTTGCAAAATATAAATGGGCATACTATGTTGTCAATACACGAGCTGTATATGTAGACAATAAAGTATGCAAGGAGAACATGTTTAATATAAAACAACCTAATAATTTGGCTCTTGCGCCGTTCTTAGATTTATTTAATCACGATGTGAACACCAATGTTAAAGTATCTATTGTCACGGATAACTACCAGAATCAATTTTATCAAATTGTTACTTTGAAGCCGTTTGACGAAGAAACGCAAGTATTTATTAATTACGGTGCACATGATAGTCTCAAGTTGTATATCGATTATGGATTTTTTATACCATGTAATCCGCTAGATGAAATCCAATTTGACATCTGTGATATAAAGAGGTGTTTTGATATTTCGAGGAATAAATTAGACTTTATTTTATTCAATGGTTTCTACAAAAATATGTCATTTACTCGCGACGGTTTGAACTATAATGCGACAATGACATTATTTATATTAAATACAAAGTTAGAGAAAGACTATTGGAAACTGAAAATATATGGCGGAACATTTGATACGGATGAACAGAGTATAATCAGTAAGCTAGCAATAAATATCTTAAACTTGAAGAGGACAGAGTATGCATGTGCTTTAAATAATATGAAGAATGTAAAACTTAAAAGTCCGAGCTTTTCAATCGCGATTGATCTTGTAAAAGAGTATATTAATATCTTAGATGCAGCATTAATTTTATATGGAGAAAATAAGAAAGGCTGTTTATATTAAATATAATACAGCTTTTCCAATTTAATATTAATCTACAATATAATTTAAAATATATTTAGAAAATAATTTTTGTACATACATATATATATGTAAATTTCATTAAACATATCTTGTTTTACAAAATATTGTAATGATAGAATAATAAATAATGATCAAAATATTTCTTTGATTTTCTCCTTATTTATCCATTGTATGTATTATAAATATACATATAGTTTATTATTTAAAACGAAGATAACATGAGCAGTTTTTACTTGATTTTACATCAATTATTCTTTGAAAATCTGAAGTAATCACGAAACATATGTGAATACATTTGTTACATGTTCATATATAATTATATCATGATTGATATACATTGGTTTTATATAAAATTTAAATATTTTTTATATTATAGTGTTGCAGCGGTAATGTAATCGATCGTGCTCAAAAGAAGAAGAATGTGCCGCAATCTAAATCTGTGGTGCCGCCAATAAAATTAGTATCTGTTGTTACTGGATTAACCGGAGCAAAGCCTGGCCAGCAAAAAAGAAATTGCTTCCATCCTGGTGTCTCCGGCTTAAGCAGAGATGCTATTGATTTACACGATAAATCCTCGGTCACCAGTACGGACATGTTAAAGGCCATGCTTAAATACATTTGGCCAGAAGTATATATATATTGTATATGTATATAAGTAATATTATATTAATTTAAAACAATGTAAAGACAAAATTATTTATTTTATTTTTACAGGACGATCCAGAAATACGAAAAAGAGTAAAAATAGCAGTGGGTTTACTTGTAGGAGCTAAAGTTTTAAATGTTCTTGTGCCATTTATTTTTAAATATGCGATAGATATTTTAAATGCCCACACCGCAGTAATATCTGACAGTGCTGCGATGAATTTAACAAGTGCACCTGCAACAGTCGCGACTGTGGCAACGTCGCTACTTATAGGATGTAAGAATATCTTATTATTTTAGTAAGAAAATTCTTATGATATATATAATATATATAATAATATATATATATATATATATAGGATTTTAAATAATTCCAGAATAATCTTTATAGATGGAATAGCACGAGCTGGAGCGGCCGGTTTCAGCGAACTTAGGAATGCGGTTTTTGCAAAAGTCGCACAGCACTCTATTCGTAAAATAGCAAAAAACGTTTTCGTTCATTTGCACAATCTCGATATGGCTTTTCATTTGAGTAGACAAACGGGTGCTTTATCGAAGGTAATGTATGTAGTTTAGCAATTTCTTCTTTTATCATTTTCAAATCAAGATTTTATTAAAAAAGCTGTATGCCACGTTTTGAAAAATGTTCTTCATATCTTTTTCAGACAATTGATCGTGGCAGTCGTGGTATTAATTTTGTTTTAAATGCCATGGTATTTAACATTGTACCTACAGTATTCGAACTAGCATTAGTTAGTGCAATATTGGGGATAAAATGTGGACCAGAATATTCAGCCGTAGCATTGGGTTGCGTGGGCGTTTATACTCTGTTCACATTAACCGTTACACAATGGCGCACCAAATTCAGAATACGTATGAATCAAGCAGAAAACGAAGCGGGCAATAAAGCTATAGATTCGCTTATTAATTATGAAACCGTAAAGGTCAGTAGTAAACAAAATGTAATTCTTTTTAAATAGATTTTTAAAAATACGTGTTTTGCTTGTTTTTTTAGTATTTTAACAACGAAAAATTTGAAGCGGAAAGATACGACGAATCTTTGAAGAAATACGAAACGTCATCCCTCAAGACTAGCACAAGCTTAGCGATGTTGAACTTTGGGCAAAATGCTATTTTCAGCGGTGCGCTAAGTCTTATCATGGTATTGGCGGCACAAAATATTGTAAATGGTAATTACATTTGTAGTTGCTAGTTTATTGTCAAATTATAGAATACTTTTAAAAAAACTACAATACTTATATTTTTATTTCTTCTATGTATAGGTACAATGACTGTCGGTGACTTAGTGATGGTAAATGCCTTATTGTTCCAACTCTCAGTTCCTTTAGGCTTCTTAGGTTCTGTTTATCGAGAAGTAAGACAAGCTTTTATTGACATGCAAACCATGTTTACTCTCATGACAACTGATACTGCAATTAAAGTAAGATTATATTAAGAGAGATATCTATATAATTTATATCTATCTTTATACTTTGCAAATAATTCAATTGTTTTTTGGATCTTTATTAATAGTCAAAAGAAAACGCACTGAGATTTTACGTGACGTCAGATTCATCGGAAATTCAATTTAGGAACGTAAATTTTCAATACGTTCAAGGAAAATCTATTTTTAAAAATGTATCATTCACTATACCGAGTGGCAAGAAGGTCGCTATTGTTGGAGGATCTGGTTGTGGGTAAGGTATTAGGTATATCTATATGAATTCTTTAACACACACACACACATTCGCGCGCGCGTAGATTACTCATCATAAATTCACCCAATATCAGTAATTACTTCATTATTGTTTTATACAGCCTTTTACCTTTTCAGAAAAACTACAATTGTGAGATTGCTATATAGATTTTATGAACCAGATAATGGAAATATTTACATAAATGGTCACGACATTCGAGATGTTGATTTAGAGGATCTCAGACAATGCATTTCAATCGTGCCACAGGTAAAATAAATGTTTATCCTTTTCTTTCAGAACTAATTATTTTATGTTACATATACTACAGTACTTTTTTTATAATAGATATATCATTTATAGGATACGGTTCTCTTTCATGAAAGTATATTTTATAATTTACACTATGGTAATTTGAGAAAATCACGCGATGAGGTTTTCGAAGCTGCAAAAATGGCAGATTTACATGATTCGATACTAAAATGGCCGCAAGGATACGACACACCTGTGGGAGAACGTGGTTTGAAATTAAGTGGCGGAGAAAAACAAAGAGTTGCAATTGCCAGAGCAATTTTGAAAGACAGTCCTATATTAATCTTCGATGAAGCTACTTCTTCTTTGGATTCCATTACAGAACATGCAAGTTTCAGGAATGCTATATTTACAGAGATTCGAATGAAAAGTAATAGTTTATGTCAATGTGTTCAGTACAAAGGAGGACATCACATATAGTGGAAACAATTATTTTATAGGTGGAGGCATTGGAAACATTTTAAACTTCTTTGTGGTGTTCAATGAATTTAGTGTTCAACACAATGAACATCATTTGTGATGTTCAAACTACTACTTTTCATATATCTTCAAATTTCACTAATAATCAAATTGGTCACTTTATACAAATCACCTTGTGTATATAATTATATTATTTAAATATCTCTTACATTCCTTTAATATAAATAATTTTGTTTACAGAACATACTTGATGCCTTGCGTAATGCGACCGAAAAACGGACCTCAATCGTGATCGCACATCGTTTATTGACAGTTATGAATGCTGATGATATACTTGTATTAGATCAGGGTAATTTAGTCGAAAGGGGAACACATGAATCATTGTTATCTATACCAAATTCTTTGTACAGCAAATTGTGGGATACTCAATATCTAGGTATGAAGAAATCACAAGAACAGAAAGAGAAAAATCAAGCTGAACAGTTTAATTAAAGATAGTGTAATTAGCTAAACATAATTATATAACACTGAATGAAAGTTTTGACCTTTTTAAGTAATTGCCTGAAATGTTATGTCTTATAATTAGATCTTAATGAAATATGAGATATACAAAAATAATTTCACAAATAGTAAAATATTACATTTATATTCTGTATATACAAATGTAAGTATTAAAAATAAGTAAGTATTACAATTTTGTTACAAAGTCAGTGTATATATAGATATTAAATAAACAAATAGAAACCCTTTTTGTTTACATATATTTGTATGCATATATTTCAATAAATATTTCACTTAATTAACAATATAGTAATATTATTTTGAAATAATTTATAAAGTGTCAAATGTTTTCATTTGTAATCTCAAAACTTATAAAAGACATCTTAGAGAGAGAGAGAGAGAGAGAGAGAGAGAGAGAGAGAGGGAAGAAGGGATGAAAAGGAGGGAGAGATACACTTAAATTACGTATCAAACGTCCATTATACGTTAAGGATCATAAGGACATCACATAATTACATCCTTTGAGACACAAGTAATCTTTAAGATCTTTTTACAATAATGGAATAATTTAGATTATTTGCGCTAATTTTTAACCAGCGTTGACTCCTATATAGCCTTTATTGTGTACTATATTTATATTTTGTATTAATTTTATTATTAAAAGGAGTCTTGAACTATATTTTAGTCTAGATTATATTTAGAATTATTTACTTAAATTACATTTTGAATATAATTATATATTATATATTTATTATATGTTATAAATATATTAAATTCCATTTTGATTTAAAAGCAGTAATAACATAAAATAATATATATTTACATTCTTATGTGTAATGTGCAATGTTAAACATGAAATCATTTTATAGTCTCAAGCAGAATAAAAAAAATTATTAAAATATATTCAAAGAATTTGGATGAAAGAAAATATTGAGATTGCTTTAAAACATTTGTAAAAATGTGCTGAGACTATTCTTATTTCTCCTGACAATCAGTAAATATAGTCGTAAAAGACTCGAAATGCGTAAACTATAATTTTTACTCAATGCGCATGCGTGGCCTAATTCTCACTTTATGTGCCTTTTAAATTATGTACTGACTGTCAGCGGAAGTAAGGATTGATAAGGATATAGTTAATTAAAAAAAATTTTTTTAAGCGATTTCAATATTTTATTTCAACCAAATTCTTTTTATTTATGAATAATATGCAAAAAAATTAATATGTCGGAGCTGTTTCTTATACTTGCTTATGACGTCACGATTCAATATGGCTAGGGATAACTCAAATATGAGCCTTAAATTTATTTATTTTAGGAAAGCATTTGGAAAAGCATTGATTACTAAGGCCGGTATTCATAAGTTCTTATATTCAAGACCGTCTTAAGTTCAGTTTTGAGGTGCATCAGCTGAGGTGCATTAGCATCTTAAGACATTACTTAAGATGGTCTTAAAATAAGAATTGACTATGAATACCAGCCTATTAATACTATAATACTTTTACAGATGTTGCCTTGACAACCATTTGAAACAATTATGGTCGCCGCTAGCCTACAATAAGTGTTTGACAACTCATTGACGATTTGACTGAAAAGATGAATTGTACGCAATTACAATGCAAGTTGTAATACGCTGTGTATAAATATAAAATGCAAACTGAAGCCTCTATTTTACCAGTAGTACAACTTAATGTGCACAGAACAATCACTAGGTAAAAATCAAACTTTGAGTATATAAATCATGACGTAATATTAGACGAAGACAATGAGATATCTGATATGTTATAAAGTTTAATACATGCATTTTAACATTTTTAACTAAAAACTTAATATCTTATCTGTTAAATATGATATATTAAATATATATGTAAATTATAGAAAAGCAAAAGCTTGTTCAAAAGATTCTGCAACACTGGAATCCAAAAAGTTGTCTCCTTGTAGAAATACATTATTTCCATCAAACAAAAAATGCTTAAATCCCTTACTCGGTATGTATAAAGATTTATTAAAATACCTGTTTATTTATAATCTTATTATATATGATATTATAAAAAAACTTATAATATATATTAAATATATTCAAATAGGTGCACCATATAGAGGCACTATGAAACAACAATTGTTGTCGGATGAACCAAAATCTGGTAATAAAAGTATTCTTGGACAAAGGGTAATATCAGCGAAAATGCTTCGTTTTAAACAGTTACAAAATCAATTAGCTGATGCACATTATCATCTCAATGTAAGTCTGAAAAGATATGTCGATATATATATTTAATACTGAAGACATTTGTTTAATAACACGAAACTAATTTTCTTATGTTTTTTAAGGAACTAGCAAACGAAAACAGATTATTAAAAGCTTTACAGAAAAGACAAGATTCTGCATTAAGGCGTTATGAAGGAGCAAATGCTGAGCTACCAAGGCTTATAAATTCGCATCATGAAGAATTGCGAGTACTTCAAACAAAATATAAAAAATTAAAAGAATTACATAAGGATACGTGTAACCTACTGAAAGAAAAAGAAAATGAACTTTATTCGGCAAATGTGAGTTTTTTAATTAATGCATTCCTGTATATTCATATAATAAAAAATACAACATTTTTATTTTTAATGTGCATTTATATGAATTTTTGAACATTTTCCTTTATAGTCACAAAATAAACATTTATTGCAACTTAGTAAAGATCGAAATCTTGAAGAGAGAGAAAAATTACAATTACAATTAACCGACATGAATTATAAAATGCAACAGCAACAAGAAACTATTCAGGTAACTTTCAACGTTTATTTTCAACAGTTACATTTACATGAATAGCAGAAATAAAATAGATTAATTATATTGCAAAAGTTTTGTGGCTTTAGCTGAAATATCTTTTTACAGCTACTGCACAGGAAACTTGCCCTTGAAACTAAGAGCTTAAAACATCAATTACACATCGAGATTTCTAAACACAAAGAAACGCAAAAAAACTTACAAGAGACAATAGAGAAATTAAAAAGCTTAGAATGTTTATTAGATAATAGAGAAAAGAGATTATATTATAATGGTCAATTGCCAATTTATAATAAAGAAAAAAATCTAGGTAGCCATTCTTTCACAAATCTCAGGTATAAAAAACATATGTATGCATTTTTCATAATGTATAAAATATCAATTGTTTAAATACATATATATATGCTTTGTATTTTAGCATATCTAATCCAATTAAATCGTCTAATAGAAGTAAAAGGAGTGAAAATGGGCCAAAGAATAATTTGGTGAGTTCGTTATTTGTGTACGATTAAGCTTAATTAAATATTAAGAAAGATTCTATAAATTTAATGTAATTGCAGCCGTCACTTGACATATTAGAATCCAATGATGATGAAAAAGTAACTCAGCCAAATAATAATATTAATCACGTTCAATCAGTAGATCAGTTAAAGTCAGAAACAATGGCAAGTTTGCAACAGATACGAAAATTTCGTTTACAAAGATCGTCACACATGCGAAAAAATGCTCATTCTATGGATGATTTAAGATTTAGGTCAAAGGATTCTGAAATGAGTGCGCATGATGATGAAAAAGTCACATCGATAGATTATAAATCAATATTGGAGAGAGACGAATTAAATAACGATCAAAGTGAAAGTGGCAAATTAAGAAAATTATTTAATAGAATAAAAAATCAGAACACACAAAAACTGCAAAGAGGACTAAGAATTGAATACGATTATTCTTCTGATGATGGAGAAAGTGAGAACGCTTGTGAATATTATATTAAGTCTTATGATACTCCACAAAAATCTAGAGAATTGTATGCAAGGTATATATATATATAACAAAACTATATTTTTCATGAGAAATCATGTAAAGCAATGTTATATAATTAAATCTTTTTACGTAATATATTTATTCTGTGTCTGTAATTAATACGTCCTGATTTTTACTCTTGTTGTGTTTGTTATAGACTGATTAACAGCACAGACGATACCTCTGATACTTTGGATGATATGATGAAAAAGATAGACAGCGATGAGGAAAAAGAAGAAGAGTTAAGCAAACATCTAACAGAAGATTTAACGTTTCAAAAGCACAAGAGTAAAACAAAAGTACTACATCATATAAAAAATGATCTTTATGATAGCGGTTCTGACATTGATTCCGAAGAAAAGATAAATATGAATGGAGATTCTTCCATTGAATATAAAAGCAATGACTTTCAAACCAGTTTATCTAAGTTCGCTAAAGAGCAGTTCAGTAAATCATTTAATGATGTCACTCAATTAGAACACAATGCTTTTGAACAGTCTGTTGAAAGATTAAAAGCTGCACAGTTATCGAGAATATCTGATAATACTTCGGATGACATAAATTTAGAAAATGCAGAAATTCCTCAACAATCTTTAAACTCAAACACAACATGGTTGAACAAAGGACAACTTTTGGAAAGTAACGGAATAGACGACTCTTTCACAGACATGAAAAAAGAAGATTTTACAAAAGAGGAAGAGATAAGATGCTTAGAAGAAAAGCCAGTATATACTGACATGTCATGTGATAAGGTTCACCATGATACAGACAACACAGTATATGAAGAAATAAAGAATTTGCCGACTTCAGAAAAGAAGAAAGTTGAGAAGAGCTCACAGGAAGTTTATGAAAAAGAATTTACGATAAATCATTTGGATGGGAGCATTCGGTCTGTGCATAATTTGGAAAAAGAATATTTTAAGCTCAAAGATGAAACATCCAGTATAATGCACCGCAAAAGTGATGAAGAAACATCAGATAAAAATGGTGTTAATATAAAAACGCAAAATAAATTGAATGCTACATTAGACGTTGATGTATTATCCAATAATGTTCATGTATCTCAGACTGAGCAGAGTAATGGTGTAAAAAGTGAGATAACACAGGTAAAACAAACAAGTGAAAAGAAAAGAATTTATTACAACAAAGAGAAGCTATTGGCCACAATGAAAGCTATTGATGACAATGAAAATATCGAATTCTTGAATCAAGGACTCAAGAATCACAATGTGAATAGAATGCAGATAATGGAGAATCTACATCGTGGCTTACCAGCACATTCAAAGCCGAAACGAGATATTATTAGAGATATATTTGAGGATAATCCCATAGAAAGTAAAGTCAGGGGTACTTGTAGCAAATCTCACTGAAACGATCACATTAAAGATTATAACAAATATAATAGCACAAAACTTATATTATATTTTTGTCTCGCCTCCTTTAATTCTATTGCCCTTTATGTGCAAACTTCGTAAAAAAATAAAATATTGAAAGAAAAAATATTATATTTTTTCTTGTTGTATTGCAGTTTTTATCAACTTAATTGCTTGAGGATATTATTAAATATTAGATATTTCCTCAGAAATAAATAACAAAAAGAAGCAAAATGTATAATGTTATTTTATTTTTATTTTCGACAATTAAAATTAAATGTACGTTATTTATAAAATTAATAAAAGAAATTTTAATAAGTGTAAAATTTATTTTTAAAAACTAATTATAAAATTCTAAAAAATAAATTTTTAACTTTTGTTACAATTAACCAAAGAAGAAATTCTATCTGATTCTATCATACGCATTTATTGCGAGTGATTACTACCTTAAATCGTCTCCACAGCAATCATTTTAATTTAAATTACAGTCTCTTTCACAAGAATTTAATCGAAGACTCTGGCTGCGTGTGTGAGCATCCATGTCATAAAATGACAACATACAAAATCAAGTAAATTATCATACATAAAGGTGATATCAACTAATCAACATGAGTTGTCCTTACGGATATTTTTTCTCTTATTTATTATGATTTATTATGAATATACACATTTTTAAATAAATAATATAATAATATATACAAAAATATATTTAAAAAATACATATATATTGTAAGAATATTCTTTTGTATTTAGTTTAGAACAATCTTAGCAGCTTGTGCTTAGAAAAATACTTCCCGCGCCTATTGTGTAATGCGGAGCTCTCTTCTCGTTTCGGTGTACGACTGTTAAATAAGATTCTAGGAATTTAATAGGAAAATCAAAGAAAGATCGAAGTGAATCTTATATTATGTACGACACACACACACAAACACCACACACACTGAATTTATTCACTACTGTAATAAATAAACACAACGAGAATTACAGTGTTACGCTATGATATTCTACTATAGCATTATACATATATTATTGTGTTTTCTACACTTTGTATCTTTTTTTCAAGTTGTCTAATTTTGTTACGTAACATTTTATTTTCTGCTCGTAATTTGAAATTCTGTTCTTTTAGTTTCTTCTCCTTCGGAGATTCTTTTAGTTTCTTCTCCTTCGGAGTTTCTGCTATAGTTGGTAAATACATGCTGACAGATGAGCTCCTATACAAATCAGAAAAAGTATTACATTACAAAAATGTATTGCATATTGAAAAGAAAAATTATAATTGAAGAAATAGAAAAAGATATCAAAACATATATTAAGAAACATATATTAAATATGTTAAGAAAGATTAAGTAAACTAATCAAAGTATTATTATGCAATAGTATTACACAATATGTAAGTATTTTACTTTTACATTTACATTTTACTGTGTGTTTAAAATGA